CTAAGTTAGGTAGCCTGAAGTTGCTAGTTAATAGTCATTTAAAAATTGTAATTGCGGCCCTCCCTGGTGGCGCAGCGGGTTAAAGCACAGCACTGAGAATCTAAAGCCGCTTCAGCATGAGTTCGATTCCCGCTTGCCCCGGAGGTGACCACATGGCGTGGCAGACCTCTCCTGACCCGCCCGCTGCTCCCCTCAGCAGTGTACTTCGTCGATCTGCCTGTTCTGCTCCCCACTCTGTCTCTGGTGAATCCTCTCACCCTCCGCATCTCTGGCCTGTATCCCAGTTCTGTATGCAAAAATAAATAAATCTTAAAAAAAAAAAAATTGTAATTGCCCTTAAACAAGTGACTATTTCACTGGAGCTCTTGACTAATTTAAAATATTTTTCATAATAAATGATTTTTTTACTCTATATGATCTCCTCACTCTAAAAAAAAGGTATCTTTTCAAAAGGCATTTTTTAAGAATACAGAATCAGATTTTTATTATTATATTACAAATAATCTGTAATGAAGCATAATACAAATGTAAGTAAAGACAAACTTTATATTAGCCCAATGAATATTCTAGTGATACTTTTGTTTCTTCCCCAGACACCAGGTATAATATCCATGCCTACAGTCATTATTAATTCTAAGGTTAGTGGGATCTCTAGAGAATGCATCCTGATTTATTATTGACAGAAATTATAAGTATTTTTCATGCAAATGGGGTCATTGGAAAGTACAATAACCCGGCTGTGGAAAATTCAAAATAGATTATAGTTTTCCAGTTACATATGACATTTCAGTCTGTAAATAGCACACCACAGTCACAGAACTATAATACGGCTAGCTCTCACCCCACTGAGGAAGGAGTTAGTGAGCATGAAATGCCAACAACCATATGCCAAAAGAATGTTTAAATTGTTTTGACATCACAGTGAAGAAATGCCAGGATGTGTGAAACTTATTTGTCCATTGATGTATGCCTGATGTCAGGGCCCTGAAAAGGAAATAAGCATAAATTTTCCAGAAGCAGAGATCCCTATTAAGGCATTTTGTTGAAAGAATATTCTAAGGCAACTAATAAATATGATACTTGTTCTTCACAGAATGATGTTCACTCCTAAAGGACATAGGTGTAGTGCTGGTAATGAATTTATAATTGTTTGTATATATTCATAGCAAGCTGAATGAGCTTAACTTAAAAAATAATTTTTAGTAACTGTTAATACTTTCATATGAAGAATTTTAAAAACAAATCTCAAAAAAGAAAATAAGCTTGTAAGTAGCTTCTATTCAGAGATATTAGGTATTAATATTTTAATCCTTCCCATTTCTTTGTCAAATATAAGGAGAAATATGTAATATTTTAAAATAATATTATATTATATAAATTTTTCATAATGTTTTCATAACATTAAATATTATTTTAATAATTTTAACAACTGCACACATTCTATGGTATGGCCGTAGCATTTTTAAGGCATATTATTTTTTAGGCATATTATTCTTTGCATAAGTATATCCTCACATACATCTCTGATCATTTTTTAGGACAAATGAAAAGCAAAATTGCTACATCAAAGAGTGAACATGTTTTAAAGATTTTTTTTAAGATACAAATTGCTCTATATTGCCAATAATGTATAAAAGAGCCCATTTCCCAGAACTTCATCAACACTGCCAGCATTTCTTTTAATGTGGCCAACTCTTCCTGAAATAGTCAAATGCAAGCTATATTTGGATATGCTTTAATTCCGTTAAGCCTTAGTCACATCTCTGGATTTCATGTGGTTTGTTTCTTAACAAGTTCTCTTCCAATTTCTTCCTCAACTACAAGCAAGAGTCATGAATAAAAGAGGCATTTCTTTCTGAAAGTACAAAAATATTACTTCCAGCATTGCACATATTAATGCAAATACATATTTTTCCTTTGCACCATGCTTTGAAGATATTACCACGGTTTTTTAATCCTATTCCTATATGAGTGAAAAAAAAATACATGCTTCTTTTCCAACGGCTTCAGATTTGTTTTTCTCTTACCTTTTGTCTGAGAGTAGAAAAATATTCTGGGATTTATATGAGTGGTATTTGCAGAGCTAAGCCTATTCCTAATATATGAACTACAATTTATCTGAGAGTAATAAAGAAAAACAATGGGCTGCATTGTATGATTTTTCTCATTACTATCATAATATATTTTTAGTAATCACCCAATGTGCATGGAGCATGGTACTAAGTCCTAAGAATTAAAAAAAAAAAAAAAGAATGGAAACTACTTGCCCTCAGTGATTTTATTATCTAGTTGAGGAATTAACATACATATGTAAACAAATAAATCTTAATAGACACTAACATACATATCCTAATTTCCCAATGGATTTAACCAACGAATGTCCTTGGAATTCAGAGAAGTGATGCCTAGATACTGAAATAGTCATCTTCAAGAGATTTGACCCATATCTTGAAGAAGCACTAGAATTTTAAGGAGGGATGGGAGTGTGTTCCCAGCAGAGATTCCAGTGCTCACAAAGGTGAGAATGTTCACGGAATGGTATTTTCAGAGTGAAAAGAACTTAACACAGAGTCAGTGGAGTTAAAAACCAAAATGTCTAACTAGCCTGATGTCCAAGTGGGTTTAAGAGAAGGCCACTGGACATACTAAAATAGTTTTACGAGAAATGAGCTTTCAGATAATTCAGGAAATTTTATAAGGTATTACTATGAAAAACATTAGTACTAATATGAGAGAATTATGTCCTGGACAACAACACTGCTGAAGAAATTAGGAGCAGGCATGCTATAGACACAGTCGGATAGAAAAGTCATCAGAACTTGGCACTGGTTTGGTTAGGAATTTCACAAACTTGTATTCCAGCAATGAAACTTCTCTCTACCAAGTACATAATATAGAATCCCAAAGATAAGGGTATATTCTAGAAGGTAACTTTCATTGCTTCACAGGTAAATTGATGCCTGAACTCTGACTCAAAGCAGAAATTATTATTTATCATTAGATGTAAAAGGGGAACAACTTAATGAAGAGGGCAAAAGAGGGACAAACTATGACTCTTAAAGTAAGAGGCCTACACCATTAGAGAAGGGTGAAAAGAGACTACAATACAGAAACCTGGCAGCAGAGATGTTTTGGATAGGACAATTAATTCCGTTTACACATTCTTTGAACAAGTATGTAGAGTGCCCACCATTCTGGAGGCAGTGGGAACACATCCATAAATAAAACAAGCAACAAAATTTTGCTTTCCTAGAATTGACATTCTAGTATTTGGAAAATATACGTAATGAGAGGTATAGTACTAGTCAACAAGTTTTGTGCTGTGATTTTGTTTTCTATTTTTCTTTTTTTTTTTTTTTTTGTCATTCATTTTAACAAGGTATATGAGAATTTTAATACCGGCACAAAAGAAAGCAAGGGTGACATATCTAACTTAAGTCCTCACTTAGGCAACAAAAAATACCAAGTATCTATTACCTCTAAGACTTCAAACAGTCCTCAAGCTGACCTTGATGTCTACAAGCTTCAGACAAATGGTTTAGTAATTGAGAGCAATAGAGTCAATCACATTAAGTTAGAAGAAAATAAAGTCTCAGTGTGCAAAAACAAGCTGACCTTCTAGCTTTGCATTTTCATTGTACTCATCCTTTGCTCTCGATCTGTGTGTAATGCTGTGCTGAGATCTCTTTTGACCTGCACAGTACTTCATCAGAGTATTCTAAACTACAGTTCTCTCTAGGTCTTGTTGCTTGAATGTTCAAAGGGGGAAAAGTATGTGTAGGTCAGAAATAAAGGTTCTGAGTGTCTAACCTTCGAAGTGAAATTGTTGCAATTAAAATACTCAGTTTAAATGAAGACAGAATATGTAACCTGTTTAAGCATTATATTTCAAACTACTGTCAAAGACAGTAGAGACATACTGAGTAATATCCTTGACACTAGCTACATAGCATTCACTTCATCAGATATACTGAAAGAGAAGGGAGATGAAAGACTTTATAAAGTTTTTGACTTCCACAGTGCTAGTGCCAGACTTCAGGACACTCATTTACCTGGCTGAAAAACAGTCAGTTAGTTCCCATTCTAAAGGATTTGGTGTTTTGTTTATTGACTTTTTTGTTTTTGAATGAGTTACTCTATATAGTTCAAGCTCTAAATTATGCATATTATTTTACTTCTGAAAACATGCTTACTTAAAATTCATTGTTCTTACCAAATCCCTAGTTACTATCTAATCATGTCAGTGCAGTATGTAAAATCATGTCAAAGCAGCATGGTACCCAAAGTTATCCCTGGCTGCTTCCCAGGCTCATAAAGATAATTGAATTTAATTCTTCTGATGGGGCAAGATGATGGCAACCTGAGGAGCACACTGGAGGATAAATGGTCTTTGAAATAGGGTTTCAAATGCTAAATGCCTTTGCAAATTTAGTTCAGTTACAGATATTTCTAAAGTATCATTATTATTATATCTTAGAACTGGCAACTACAATCCAGAGATGAAGAAGGCCCAGTTACCCTTAAGAACTTCACAGTCTAGTAAGATTTAACCTTATTAGATTTTTAGTTTTCTGGTTTTCATTATGATCTGGCCCAAATTATATTGTATTCCATTTTTAATCCTATAAACCATCCAGTCTCCAGCTGGTAATAATTTACATAACAAATGCATAGCTAAATAAAAGGCAAGGATCATTATAGTATTTTAGAAAAGATTTTAGATATCCTGTAATCCACATTTTATAGTTCAGAAAGCTAGGAAGGATCTAACTTAAAGCAAGGTTTTCAAAACCTAGTTAAAAGAGCTTTCTACTGTATTCTTACATGAGAATATGAAATATAGAAAAATAATTGCTTAGTGCTCATAATGATCATCTGAAATGATTGAATGATTATTTTATTTTGTACACTAGAGGTGGAATTTATTCTGTTTCCCTAATATTTCTCATGCTTGTTCCATACTGTTAACAGCTTAATAGATGTAGTTATTTTTGTATTAGTTTTCCAGATCAAGAAATTCGTAAAGTGGCAGTTCAACAATTAGACAACCTATTGAATGATGAACTACTAGAATATCTCCCACAGCTGGTTCAGGTAAGAACAGCAGAGTTGACAAGAGATGCCAGGATTTTAGGTAATAATTCTTTTTTAAAAAAATTTCCACTGAATCAACAATAGATTACATAAAAATGATACTGTAAATTGGCCAGACAGTGGGCCAAATTACAGCTCACATGTCAGCCTAAGTAATACAGAAACTGGCAGTTATAAAAGAGGGATATAAAAGCCAAAAGTTATTTTTTAAAAATAGCTTTGGTTATTAGAACATGAAAAAAATCAATTCCTGCAATAAAAATGTTTTTCATTTGACTGTATATATAGAAACTATGAGAAATTATCCAAATAAATGTTAAGTAACATTAAAAATATAGTCATTTGCTGGATATCTCAACCTATGTGTCTCTTGCCTTTCAAGTATTTTAATATTGATTATTATTATAAAAGTAATTTTGAATTCACAAATACTATATCTGGATAGTATTTTTATGGCATCAAATAATATAATATTGAAGTAATCTTAGAAAATAATATAAGTTCATATAGAAATATGACCAAAGATTTAGTTTGAACATGCTAAAATGTAAAATATTGCACATTTTACAAATATCCATGTAAATGACTAAATGTAGAAACTATAAAAGTATTTTCTAAGTTGATTTCATTTCTGTAAGAGTAGGTCTAAAATAGTAGCCTTCATATTTTGTGGGTTTTGTTTGATTTTTAAACTCAGACATTTTCTTATATGAAATGCCAAGTTTTAGTTATAAGTTATTTTAAAGCTAGATGCCTCCAGATTTGAAAATTGAGACCCATCAGGAAGCCTCTGTTAACAGACTTGAATACCAAAGTACTTTGCAAATAGAATATGCTCTTCTCGGAAGGCCTCCTAAAAAACAAATATTTCTAACATAGCTGTATCATTTGGTTACTTCTACCAACCCTTACAGTTGTGATTTACCTAGACTTGCCAAGGTAGGGTAGTAAAAATGAGGATTCATCCAACTTGAATATTAACCTCATTACTTATGAGTTTCAGCGATGTGGTACAGCTAACCCTATTCAAAAACGTAAGTTTTTACAGAAGTTTATATAAATGAAATCCATTTGAAAATCCCAGTCTGAATTAACACACTTGGCTCCAGAAATATCACTGACATCCATATACCTGAAAATCCAAATATGACAAACTGTGCAGATTCCACTACAGATAAACAGAAATAAAATTAGGTGCAGTTGCAATTACTTCTTATTAAAAATGAAGATGAAAAGAGTTGCATACTATGAATAGAAAGTAAATAAAAAATGAGATGAATTTTCAAAATGTTAATTGTGGAATCTGTCCCTGAAGTTTTCATGTTCTACCCTGACCTTAAAATTATCTTAAGGCATTAAAAAAAATCCTACCCTATTGACTATTTACAGAAATTATATTATTTTGTTACATGTTACCTTGTTGATATTACTCAAGCTATAGAAAAGTAATGAGAAAGGACTCTAAGATCATTATAAAAATAGGAGATAGTACACATGGCTAGACATCAAATCAGACACAGACCAGGAGTCATTCCAAACCACTGGTAATACCCACTTGGGTGTGTTCAAGAGCAGAAGCCATGACAATGTAACCTGAACCAAAACTGTTGCTTAAATTCTAGCTAATGAGGCAGGATTTAGGGGGACATTGTAATAAAGTGTAGACTATCTAGTTACTGATTTCAAGAAGCAATGATGGTGCAATCTAAAATAAAAACTAAAAAGAGAAGCCTGAAACTAAATTTTCTCTTGATCCTATGCTCAGATGATATGCTCATTATTAGGGTAAAAATACAACCCAGGACCTAGTCTAGTATTAGCAAGGGAGTGAGAGAAGGCCACAGCTGTAGTTCAAGGCAACAACATCATGGTCACTATGCAGCTTCTGTACACTGTGCACTCACCAACATCAAGAGTGTGTATAAATTTGCTAAAATCATACTATAAATTCACAAACTTTACATGCTAACGATGTATCTCAAGGATGTAGTATCTTGAGGTATTATTTCAAGTATATGCAGGAATGAATATTGTACATGTATTCAATTTTTTTTATATGTTATGGTATCAAACCTGGCTTAAACTCAGCATAAATGCATGTGTGTATCTGTATATGAGTCAAATGGCTTATTGGACAACTAAAGACTGAGTCATTTTAAGCAGGGATAAGCATTTTTATGAACAGAATATAGTTTTCATTCGCACAGTGTACTAACGCCCAGGATGTTGATGGAGGCCCAGCTACTGACTGCTGACAGTATAGTCTTTGTAGAGTGCAGGTAGAGGTTACAATTAGAACCAGAGGTATCAAAGGCACCATTGATGTCTGTTTTTTCTTTGAGGTTGAGCGTCCTAAGAAACCTTAGAGAGATGTTCATAGAGATAGGAGAAATTATTTGGGCTGGATGGGTTATGGTGACAACAATCAGCTTTGAAACCTATAAGTAAGGCTTTAAGGTTTCACATATTGGAACTGCTAATATAGCATTTACTTATTGCACCTGAAGCTGTGAGTGTGCATTAATTTTATTTCCAAACAAAATCAATATAGCTACTGCTTAATAATCCCACTTTTTAAATATCCAGGATACTCTTAGAGAGCGAGAAAGAGTGTGTGTGTGTGTGTTTGAGGATTTTCCTCTTAGGCATGACTGAACTTGCTGTTATTTATTATCCTGTGAAACTAAATAACAAATAGAGAAATAAAACCAACTTTCAAACTTAATTCCCTAATTCAGACCTATTTACAGCCAATAAAGCTATCAAATATATTAACATTTTGTTAAAATGTTTATGCTTTTCCCCCAGATCTTTTCTCAGTCCTCTGAAGTCCCCATATATTCTGCTATAACTTTGTTTCTGAAGGAACAATTAGGAGTAATGTGATTATATCTCTTACTACAGGCATTTAAGTTTGAGTGGAACCTGGAAAGTCCTCTGGTGCAACTCCTATTACATCGTTCATTGCAGAGCCTCCAGATAGCCCATCGTCTTTACTGGTAAGACTGACTACAGTGGGTTCAGTGCCCTTTGGTCAAAATCTCTCTCTGGAGCAGCTTTAGAATAAACAGAAGATTCCTTTGCCTTGTACTAGATATAAGCCTCCACTTGAAATTCAGCCAAATTCAAATCTTTGTCAAGGCTATATTTTATGAGTATAATTCAGTGATAATCATCTTCAAGATCATTTTCTACAGTTTTCTCTGTTTAAATCCAATCAAAATTTTTAGTGTAGATGACACCTTTCCTGTAGCTTTAAATCACAAGCTCTGTTTTTGGTCACATATAATGGTGAGGAGTTCAGTATAAGATCTGTTAAAAGAGGTATATATTCTTGAAGAATATATTTTTTTAAAATGATTAATGTACAGTATTAATTATAAACCCACAGAATCTAGCAGTGAATTGTCTTTTTTTTTTTTGAAAATTCCTAGAGTGCCAAACTTTGACCAAATTTAAAGTTGGAAATTTAGGATTTTCAAAAAAGATTCATCATCACTCACTCTTGATTCCATTTAACATGAAGCAATTTAAAAGTTGCTCTTCACCATTTTATTTATTACTAGCTCTGCAAATTAAAATTCATAACAATTTTGATTAAATATCTGAGCCAAAATATAATATAAAAGGGTATATATAATTGAAACGTATATAAAAATGAATATTTTAGGGGGATAGCTTAAAATATAGAATAAAATATTTAGGGTTTATCCTAAATCATTAATGTATGCTATAATACTCATGCTACCTTGGAAAATTCTTCATCTGCTAAAGTAGTCTGAAAAGAGGAGTATTTCAAAAGGCATCAATGTGTGCATAGTTGCAATTCAATGTCTCAATAGTAAGTTCATAATAAACACAATTATGTGACTGTTTTCAAAGAAGTTGAAATGAATATCTTTATAATTCTCACTATTATGAATACAAAAAAAATAACAAATGCATTTTTCCTTTTTGATTCAAGAAGAGAGTGAGACAAGAGAAATAGTAAATAACTGAATTATAAAGGAACTACTTGTTTTTTTTTAATTAAAAAGTTTATTTTTACATCATTTTGCACATTTTTTTTTCATCTGAATTGTAATCCCCACGGGTTTCCCATCACCAAATCACCCCTGTGCCACCACCATAGTCCCGTGCATTTCCCT